ATTAGCAATGACAGTTGTATTTAATCAAGACAGAAGAATCGTACACGATGAACAAATTAAAAACGAAAAAAAAATTTTTTTAAATAACACCAAATAAAAAAAAAAAAGGTTATACAAAATGATCCAAGACAGACTTATAAGGCTTGTATTACATTCCAATACCTCAAAGTCAAACCAACTTGTCTAAGCGATCAATGTTATGCGACGACATCAATGATGCAAAAAAAAAATTAATGCCACTCCAAACAAATTTTATTTAATGAGTTATAGAAATTATATATCTAAAAGCATGTACTCACAAGCTGATAGATATCTAAAACTAAGTAGTCACGTGAATCATTAGCTTTATATTACTACATCTTGAGTAAAAATAACTAATGTCCTTGAGTTGCAACATATAAACATATGGTAAGAAACTGATACATGATTTAAGATATCATTAATATCATATTAATTGTAGCCAATGGTTTCTTCTAAAGCTGCAGTTATAAATAAAAGAGGAGAGTCTCCAATAATTAAGCAGATTGAAGTTAATGCGCCCGAGGATGATGAAGTCACAATTAAAACAATTGCGGTTGGATATCACCATTTAGTGGTTGGGCGTGCCACTGGAGCACATTATTCAGCTTCGTCTGATGTAAATGTACCAATTGGGGTAGATGGTGTTGGATATATTAATGGAACTAAAGATTTAGTGTATTTTACGACTTTTGCGCCCGGCAGGGGAGCTTACTCCGAATACATAAATGCAAAGAAGGATGATATATTTCCATTTCCTAAGGGATATACTTCCAAGGATGCAATTTCCCGGGTGGCAGCGCTCAGTAATGGAGTAATGTCTAGTTATCTCTCGCTTCATAAAAGAGTTCCAGACTTGAAGAAGAATGCAACTATTGCTATTTTGGGAGTCACTGGAGTAGGCGGTAAGCTAGCAATTCAATTAGCCAAGAACGTGTTCGGTGCTAAAAAGGTCATTGGCCTTGCAAGATCGCAAGCCAAGTTAGACAAGCTAAAGGAATCCGAGCCATTGTTGGATGCTGTGATTTCATTTGAGGAGAGTGATGAGGAAATCCTAAAGAATAAGCTTCTTGAAGATGTCGATGTTGTCTTAGACTACATTTGGGGTAAAGCAGCTACCAAATTCTTGGGTCTTATAACGAAGTCTAAATCTGTCTCCAGTAACAAACAGTACTGGATTCAAATTGGTCTGATTGGGGGCGAAAGTGCAGAGATCCCAGCTTCCCTTTTGAGAAGTTCGAATATTGAAATTTTAGGGAGTGGAATAGGTCCCTATTCTCAAGAGGACATGAAGGATGTCTTACAGAGATCTACAGAAGAGCTCGCTAAGGGATCGCTTAGTGTCGAGACACGTCAAGTTCCAATTGAAGAAATAAGTGACATATGGGGCCAACCTTGGGACAATAATGCTAGAATATATTTTACTTTCTAACCCCTAGGCCAGCCTTTCAATGAGCGTCTTAAGCTGAGTATATTTTACTATTTTATCTGCGTCTCGTAAATAAGAAATACTATTCACTATATCCTTTGCAATTAAGGTAATATATGGAAATGAATGTACTCTCTTTAGCTAGTAAGTAAACAGTTCATAGTATATAATAGCTTAGAATAATTCTTATGAAACTAGCAAATTGTGAGATTATAGCCACAGACTTTTGGGGTTCGAACCATCATCTCTTAGTCTACTATCTAACTCTTTGAAAGCCTTCATCGCAGTGACACAAAATTGAGAAAAAAGAAAAAAATCGACGTTGATGCCCTAGGTTCGAATTAGAAAAATGACTGGTACGTAAACTCACAAATAAATATAACCCACTCAAACAAGGTATTTTCAAGAATTACGACTAGGGGTAGTGACAAATCGCTCAAGGCTGTTGATTTAAAGAGAAAAGATTTAAAAAGAACAACTTTGGGAGGAAAGGAATTATCGGATAACCCTTGAAATCGAAGAGGCAAAGAGGGCAAGAGATCAATCGAAAATCGAAGATTTCTAAAAAAAGGTTGGTTCGTCGATAAGATCAGGTTAATTAGACGTAGGATAACCAAGGGTAAATACATCGGTCGTGGAAAATAGTGAGGACTTGAAGACGGTATCTCCTTTGACACTCACACATACACATTCTTCGGGGATATATACTAGAGTTAACTAAGGGGCGTACAAATGGGTCAAATTCTCTCACAGCCAGTAACTGAAAAACACTCATCGAAAGATGAGGATAAATACTCTTCTTATGGGTTCTCATGTATGCAAGGATGGAGAATTAATATGGAAGATGCACATGCACTTATTTTGAATGTGTTTGATAAAAAGGACGAAGACGGTAAAGATTCGGACAATGAAGAAGAAAAGAAATCTGGGGAACCAAAGGAGCACGTAGCATTTTTTGGTGTTTATGATGGTCACGGAGGTGAAAAGGCTGCCATATTCGCTGGCGAACATCTCCATGATTTGATAACATCCACAAAAGCTTTTCAGAAAGGAGATTATACTAATGCTTTGAAAGAAGGGTTTTTGAGTTGCGATCAGGCTATACTTCAGGATTATGATATGAGAGAAGATGACAGTGGATGTGCGGCAACTTCTGCTCTTATCATACCTTCGCAAGTATTTTGCGGTAATGCTGGTGATTCGAGGACAATCTTATCCACCAATGGATTTGCTAAGGCGTTGTCTTACGACCACAAACCTTCAAATGAAGGAGAAAAGGCTAGAATTTGCTCAGCAGGTGGATATGTTGATATGGGAAGAGTTAATGGAAATTTGGCTTTATCTAGGGGAATTGGTGATTTTGAATTTAAGAAAAATATGGAATTGCCAGCCGAGGAGCAGATCGTGACCTGTTACCCAGATGTGATACAGCATGATTTGAATTATGAAAAAGATGAATTTGTTGTGTTGGCTTGCGATGGTATTTGGGATTGCTTGACGTCTCAAAATTGCGTTGAATGTATCCGTCGAGGTATCTACGAACGTAAGGAGTTGACGCAAATTTGTGAAGAGCTCATGGAATTGTGTTGTGCTCCAACGAGTGATGGTTCCGGCATTGGCTGCGATAATATGTCGATTGTCATAGTCGCTTTGTTGGACACATCAATTAATGAAACATTAAATCAATGGTATGACAAAATCATCAAGAAAATCGAAATTTCACAAGAAGACCCCTCCAATAAAGAATATGGGACCATTTCGAATCCGTATAACGAAATTTACAAAGATATTTATGGTGAATATTATGAAATGGGCCAACAATCTCAGGGATCAAGAAGTACAAATAGCCCTTCCATGTTTCGTGGATTATCTGGCATGCGTAATGGACCCGATTCCGGTAAGTTTGGAAATGAAGATGAAGGAGACGTCGAGGAAGGCGATGGTCCTGAGGAGGGTGAACCCGAGGACTCTTCAAGCCGAGCAATATCTTTGCAGAAGCTATTAGCAAGCAATGCGATAACTAACGAAAATGGAGTCATATACTTGGATACGTCATCTGCACAATCCTTATTGGCTCATTTTGGGATGTCTGGCGCAGATGGTGACGACCTGAATGAAGAAGACGAAGGCGTTCATGATAGACATATTGAAGAAGAAATCGAAGATAATAATGAGGAAATAGAGGATACGAGTAAAGATGATGAGGAGGAAAGCTCTTCCGAAAAGTCAAAAGACAAAGATAGTAATTAATAAGATTATGCGAGAGTAGTCATTCAATGTAACTGTCTTCTGTTGTTGCAATTCTACTATTATCAAATCAGTATTACTATTTTACGATTATTACTATTACTATTACTATTATTATTATTATTATTATTATTTTTTTTATGAAATTTTTTTGTTACTCCTTGTTTTAACTATTGCAAGCTTTCCTTTGGCTTGTTAGTGGATTTTCAATGTTACTTTAGGTTACGATGCTTTTGTCATGGCATTCCAATCAGGGCGCCTCATGCCTTATCTATTGGTTTTTGTACGATAAAACTGCTCATTTTAAGCTCTCGATTGACGTCGGACATGATTTATGAATTTCACTTACTTCCGTTTTACAATAAATATGCTGCTATTGATATATATATATAT